TTTTAAAAATATATTCTGGATATTAATTTCTTATCAAATATGTGATTTCAAAATACTTCCTGTGGGTTGTATTTTAACTCTTGATAGTGTCCTTTGATGACCAGACGTTTTTAATTTTTAAAATTTATTTTTAATTAGCAAATAGTTATTTTACATATTCATGGATACATAGTGATATTTCAATGTGTATAATGTATAGTGATCAGATCAGGGTAATTAGTATTTCCATCAGCTCAAACATTTATTATTTCTTTGTGTTGGGAAAAATGAGTATCTTCTAACTATTTGAAACTATATACTATGTTATCTTTAACTGTGGTTGTCTTACAATGGTATATAACTTATTCCTCCTGTCTAGTTGTAATTTTGTTTCCTTTAACAAATCTGTCCCAAAAGTTTTAAATTTTGATGGAGAATAGTTTATTTATTTTTTACCTGTGTTTTTGGTGTCAAATCCAAGAAATTCTATGCCAAATTCAATTTCATAAAGGTTTTCCTCTAAGAATTTTATAATTTAGCTCTTAAGTTTAGGTCTTTGAGTTCATTTTTTAATATTATATAAGGTAGGGATCCAACTTCATTCTTTCGTATATGGATATCCAGCTTTCCCAGCACCACTGCTGAAGAGACACGTTCTCCACTGAATGGTCTTTGTACTTTTGTTGCAAAGCATCTGATCCTATTTGCAAGAGTTTATTTCTGGGCTGTTTAATGTATTCTAATTGGTCTGTATGTCTGTACTTAAACTAATATCACACTGTTTTCTCCTTCCCCTCCCCTCCCCTCCCCTCCTTTTCTTTTCTTCTTGAGATGAAATCTTGCTCTGTTGTGCAGGCTGGAGTGCAGTGGTGCAATCTCACCTCACTGCAACCTCCACCTCCTGGCCAAGCGATTCTCCTGCCTCAGTCTCCCAGTAGCTGGGATTACACCCGCTACCACATCCAGCTAATTTTTTTGAATTTTTGGTAGAGATGGGGTTTCACCATGTTGGCCAGGCTGGTCTTGAACTCCTGACCTCAAATGATTTGCCCACCTCGGCCTTGCAAAGTGGTAGGATTACAGGCATGAACCACTGCACTCGGCTACATACTGTTTTCATTACTGTATCTTTGTTGTAAATTTTGAAGTTAGGAAATGTGAGTCTTCTATCTTTATTCTTCTTTTCAAGAGTCTTCAGTGTATTTGGAGGTGTTTTGAAGTTCCATGTGAATTTTAAGGTGAATTTTTTTATTTGTGTGAAAGCATTATTGAGATTTTGATGGCAGCCGTGTTCAGCCTGCATATTGTATTGGTTAGTATTGTTGTCTTAACAACATTAAAGCTTCCCATCCATAAACATAAGATATCTTTCTATTTATGTAGATCTTTAGTTTCTTTCAGCATGTAAGAAGTAAATTATTTAAAAGTTTAAAACCTCTATTTCGCCGGGCGCGGTGGCTCAAGCCTGTAATCCCAGCACTTTGGGAGGCTGAGGCGGGTGGATCATGAGGTCAAGAGATCGAGACCATCCTGGTCAACATGGTGAAACCCCGTCTCTACTAAAAATACAAAACATTAGCTGGGCATAGTGGTGCGTGCCTGTAATCCCAGCTACTCAGGAGGCTGCGGCAGGAGAATTGCCTGAACCCGGGAGGCAGAGATTGCGGTGAGCCGAGATCGCGCCATTGCACTCCAGCCTGGGTAACATGAGTGAAACTCCATCTCAAAAAAAAAAAAAAATAAATAAAATAAATAAAACCTCTATTTCTTTAATTATTAGTGTCAAGAATGAAACATTATTAATATAATGGAGACAGCATATTTTTACTTTCTCTAATTATTTCCTCTGATATCTTTTGGAACTTTGTGGTATAATTTGTATTGTTTATTTTGTTTTGTTTGTGATTTAAGGTTGTGTCTATGAAGGTGTAAGGTATGCATGTTTATATCCTCTTATCTAGACATCCCCCCCGACCAAAAAAAGAAAAAGAAACCCCCAGATTATTTATTTAATTCTATAATTCATACCTTTTACCAACCCTCTTTCTCCCTTATCATCGTCTTATCTAAAATGACTGACTTTTATATTTTTTCTTAATTTGAGAGTATTTTATGGCGTTTTGGTCCGTAGGTTTTATCATAAAAAGAATATAGAAATACATTATTTTTCTGAAAACTAGAAAGATGACAGGATTCAAGATTATGACAGTTTAAAGATTCAGTTTTTCCAGATAAAACAGAACCTTTTTATTTGGATGGATTTTATTTTGCAATATTTATTGTATATTCAATTCAAATGTGCTCACTATTGTGCTAGCACTTTGAAAGTATAAAGTATAAGGCTGCAGTTAGTGCTTGTAGTGAGCTTTAAGTCACAGGAAAATGAGGCATGCACACAAAATAATGAGGAAGCATTATAATAATTATGATCATTAGTTATCAAAATAAGTGAACGAGCTAATAATCATTGTTAGAATAGTAATTGTGGTCTTAGATCTCAGATGCATTAATCAAAAATTTTATCTTGAGGTCAACTTTGA